CGGTGTCTGAAAAGTTGCAATTTCACAATTTCTGCGCGTTGCAATTTCACAAACTCTGGGCAGGTAGTGTTACCAGGCTGCTGCTCACTGAGGAACACCAAATGAAAAGAATGGCTCTTGGTTTTTTGGACCGATATCATAAGAAAGATGATCAGATTTTAAAGAGGATTGTTACAGGGAATGAGACGTGGGTTTCTCATATGACCCTAGAGTCTAAACGTCAGTCAATGGAATGACGTCTCACGGCATCACCAGTCAGAGTCAAGGCCAAGCAGACAGTCTCAACACGCAAAGTTATGGCAACCGCGTTTATCGATAGACATGGAGCCTTGTTAGTCCAGTTTATGCAGCAAGGGACAGCAATAAATATAGCCTCTTACTGCTCTACCCAGACTAAACTTAGACGTGCAATAACAAATAAGTGACGTGACCTTCTGACGTCTATTGTTTTGTTGCTACATAATAATGCCAGACTCCATTCTGTCATTAACACCCAAATCCGATCAGATCGTTTGGATGAGAACTCTCCGCCCACTATATAATCCAGACTTGGCACCCAGTGATTTTCAATTCTTCCGCTACCTAAAGAAGTTTCTCAGTAGCAAGTGCTTCGCCACAGATGACGAGGTGAAAGAATCAGCTCAAGATTGGTTATCCTCACAGGCGGTAGACGTTTGTGACTTAGGCATACAAAAGCTTGTAGAATATTATGACAAATGTTTAACCAAATATGGAAACCTATGTAGAAAAATAGAGAAACATGTAAGGAATTGACTAAAAAAAACGTTCTTTGAAAAAAAAAAAAATCTGTGATGTTTTATGTTTCATAAGAAATCGAACTCTACTTTCCGAATACCTATATTAGAGGCATTTCCAGAATTTTGTTAAAAATAAATTATCCGATATTAAAAAGCAAACATTTTTAAACCTAGATTTTGTTAATCTGCTTAAAGAAAACTGTAGCATTTTGTTTACATTTTAAATTCAAAAATAAAATTCGCCTTAATTCAGAATTTTTTTTATTCAAAGGCCTAATTAAAGGCCTAATTAAATTAAAATTTATTAGGCCCTAATTAAAGGGTACTTTTAATGTCAGATTTGTTTGTACATAATCCGAAATATATAAATATCGTACTATAAAAAGCAAAAAGTTTCACCCGACCTTTTTTACGCGAGTTTGAACTCGGAAACTTTATTCAAATTCTCTTTCAAATATTGTTTCTTTGTTCTAGTGTAGAATTGAGTGCCCCTTCGATTAGCGACATTTTTTTTTTTTTTTTCGATGAAATCTCACTTCTGGTTACCATGACAGTTTTAACTTTGTTTTAGCTTCCTGATTTTATTTAAATGAAAATATAGTACATGGGCAAATTGAAGGCAGTGCGCAATGCCTAGTATGTGCAATTCTAGGATGTTTTTTAAGTACAGACAGATCGAAGTGTACATGGACACAGAGTGTGTGCAATTCTTTGACTTCTTATTTTGGTTTTCTGCAGCGGCCATCTTGAAATTGTCCTTCCTGGCGCCGATCTTGGCGTCAAAAAAGAATCGCCAAGAAACAAGGGGCACCCAATTGTAAACTTTTACCTTGTTCTTTAATGATATTTACAATTTTGGTTTTTTTACTTCCTTGTACGAAGTAAAAGGGAACTATTGTAATCGCGAAAAGTTTCAGGCATCATATTTTAACGCAAAAATCCATTTTCACCCCTATCGAATGCAATTTAACGATGTTTTTGCTTGACATCTGTTTTGTTTTTGCTAGAACGCCCCAACCCGCCTGATTACAAAGTGATCTTATGGTCCAAAAAGGGGCATCCCATTCACACCACAAGCGAAGGCAGCCAGCGACCCGGAGAGTCCTCCAACCAAAGTTAAAACGCCAGATTAATAAAAAAGAACAACTAATCCAAGATATTATACACGAAGCAACTTGCATTTAACTTAAAATTCAAAGCTCCAAGAAACCAAGCCCGGTATTCGAGTAACTAAAAAATGTTAGTATAATCAACGAAAGAAAATAATAATTATACATCCAGCAAGGTTGCCATACAACTATATAATTTTATTTTTTTTAAATGGCTGGATTAACAACACAATAGTAAGAAGAAAAACCAAAAAACTAAATCAAGAAAACTGTATTAGTAAAATGATAACATAAAATAAGGAAGGAAACACACACAAAAGTATGACATACAGTCACACATATCATCAAACACGACGAAAAAGACATCCTAAATAAAACACATTGAAAATAGAACGAACTAGTTAGAAAACCCAATCGCATATCTATTGCCATAATAAAGGCCATCAATTCTCCTGCAATAATTTCAAATGTTTAAAATCAAATTCAATAATCAAAATTATATCAACTAAAACTTCGTTGTCTGATAAAATCAGTCGATGGCATCCACCACGAAGTGTTGGCATCACCCAAAAAACATTACAATTTGGACATAGATCTTATCTTATACATGAAATCTCTTAAATAATGAGGAAACCTACCATTCCGGTGATAATATGATTCATATCAATGTCATCATACATTAAAACTTTATCTGTAATTTCAATATTAGTCACAAATTATTTTTCCTGTGTGAACTTTTCCACACAAATCTTCCATTATTTATATAGTTATTTTTCTTGTCATATGGCAATTTGTCTAGAACAGACATTCCACATGGATGCATTGTGAAATACATGCATCCTGGCAGACGTCAGCCCTGCATTACCAAAAACCCCACCTGGGCTAATCCAATGAAAGAAATGGTGAACTGATAGATTGCAAAGAATTTAATATCCATATAATACAGTTAACATTATCGGAAAGAGAGCGACTGGAGCAAAGAAGACATCAGTATACAATTTATAGTAACCCAGTTTTAAATATTCATTTTATCCATTTCAAGTGCCTTCAAAACAGCAATACATTCCGCTTGAAAACTGATTATAAGAATTCAATCTATATAACCATAATCAATTCACATCATAGAAATATAACAAAAGCATCTCCAGTAGCAACCCCGACCATCGAATAAATCATATATCCAATTTTGGAATTTCTCTATCAACCCTAACTGATTCTATTTACAGGGTGTAAAAAATGTACATAAATTTTACAAAAACATATTTAGTAATAATATTAGAAACAAAACAAATCATATCAATTTTCCAGACGTAAAGATATTCTTGTAAGAAAAATGAATCTGTATGTAATGAATGCTTGCATCTGTATGTAAGGACAGAATAGGACTCTTTTTCCCCAGCCCACCAGCGGCCCGAGCGGTAAGTCGCTGAACTGGTAGTTCGGGCGAGTTCGAATCCCGCAACAGGCAGCTGCATGGGCGTTTCTGGTTTTCCCCATGTGTAAATGTATACAGCCAGTTCCCTTGAAAGTCCCCACGAAGGCATCCCTTCCTAGGATATAAGCCCTCGAGGCTTTGCCATAATCACACCATACACACGCGTTTTCCCCAAAAAAAAATGTAAAACTATTTAAAATGAATTTGAAGTGAATTTTCGTGGCGTCTGTGCGTACGTATGTATCTTCGCATAACTCAAAAACGAGTAGCTCAGAACCTTATAATTTTGTATATAGGACTGCTGTAACATGTAGATGTGCACCTCGTATTTTGTACAGTCGGCCGCACCAAAATTATAAAATATATCTATATATACATCCCATCTGTTATCGGCTCAGTGATCTCAGTACTTATCTTATATGTTTTGTTGATTTTTCTTTAAAAATATTGAATTATTTGTTTTTATTCCGGCTACGGTTTTTATGCCTTTATATCTGTACCAATATTTTTGAATTATCAACAATTAAAAGTTGTTCAGTGTCGCTAAGCCATAATTTCTTCCAGGCGCCATTGCTGTTTACATTTGGAACAGCGAAATTAGATTTGTTGCCAATCTAGAGAAGTAAGCTCGCAATAACAAAATAGCTTCTTTTATTATTGCGATTATCATGCTTAATCCATTCTGGAATTTATTCGAGGAAATAAGTGTTTAAGATTTACTTCATAATTTTCAATACAGACATTTTTGAGTTTTTATGTGTGTATTTTTGCCTTGTCGCGATGTGAGAATTGAATTAATTGAATGAGAAATACTAAAACGTCTGTGAAAAACTGTTTCTTTTTGTTGTTGTTGTTTCTTAATTCTTTTTATACATCGTTTTAGATTTATTACAGTATTTGAATAAAACATGTCGCAACGATTAGATAATTCGTAAGATGATATCAATTTTGTTCATATTGAGTTAAAAAAATGATTGAAATGTAGCGCTGTTAAATGAACCTAGGGCCAGAGTATCGCTACGGTAAACAATAATGAATTTTAAAGAGTGTATTTATTCTATTATGGTTAATGCGTTATTCGACGAAGTAGATTTAATGGTAAACAAATATAGTGAATTTATTCTATTGTGGTTTATGCGCTATTAGCGGAGTAGATTTAACGGTAAACAAATATAGTGAATTTTAAAGAGTGCATTTCTTCTATTGTGATTTATGCGCTATCGAAGAAGTAGGTTTAATTCAATCCAATAAATTTAAATGAAATGCAAGAAAAAAATGCGTATAATTTAATATTCAGTGCAAGGAAGTAATGTGGTGCACACATCAGATTTTTTTGTCTAAAAGTACTTTTCTTCCATTATTTAAAGCGTATTCTTTCTGTTTTGAAATCTCATTTCATTTATGTAACCACATGAATTTACCCTCCATATTAATCTCCTTGAAAACAGAAGTAGATTTATAACAATATTTTGTTGTTGATCGTAATGCGGGTTATTCCTCTTTTCTGTGTTTTTTTAACCTCTTTTTAATTTGATTTTGAGTGAATGGTAAATTTTGTCTCCGGTATTGCCCGGTTAATCGGGATTTAACTGAAAAATGGATTTTAAACGCCTCCGTTTACTGTAAATGTTTTAAAAAGTTCTTCATAAACCAAAGCACGTCAGATTAAATAAAAGTCAAAATCGTTTCCCAACTTACTCGCACATCTCGGCCATAACCGCCTGGACGTAATCCACATCGTTGACCACGAAGGCCCATTGCTCATTCTCATTGACCGCCGCCTTAGGGTAGAAGAGGCGCGACTGCTGGGGACAGACCGTTTCCTCGGACACATCTCCCGGGGACATCTTCCGAGGATTGATGGTCAGGGTGCCGAATAACTCCTTGAACTCGTCCGAGGAATAGTTGATGGCATTTCGGATCTCCCGCCTGGAAATGTTGTGCGAAACACACTTTAATCACAAACCGCAAGAAAGTAAAAGGAAAAAGTACACATGCTTATACTGAAAAAAAGGAAAAGTATTGAATTGTTATTCTTATCTCATTCCTCCGAAAGTTTCGAAATGGTCAAGAAAACTCTTTTGGGTGATAAATCGATGGGAAAATTGATTGTACTCGTAGAATTAGGTTAATAGACGTATATCATATTACAAGGAAGCGATGGAATGCGTGTGGAAGTTTGAGAATGAATTGTCTTAATGAAATTCTAAAACGAACAATAAAGTATTAACTCTATATTATTAAATAATAAAGAATCTAGGTGTTTAATTTTTCCTCGCATTGTGAGAAAACGAAACCTAAAACAACCATACTTTGAACATACGTAGTCTTCCATTCGAACATATGCACCTCTAACCCCGAATTTTGAATTTGTTTTGTTATTACCCCAATATGCTATTGGTCTCGTAACACGATTTTGTACTGATTCACTTTAAGTGCGTTATTCATTCTATTCTGTAGCCATTCGGCAAAATGTTTATCTTCCAAATTTAATCTGTTAACTTAGTTTGTTAATTAACAAACGAAGTTGTTTCAAAGCAATAAATACAGTTCTTAAGAATGCTATTACTTTTTTTTTATCTTTTAAACTGATTAATTTAAATAAAACATGAATTTAATTTATAATTTAGCTAATTAAAAACGTTAAAAGTTTTTACATAATTACGTTATACATTTTTCCATTTTTATAACTATATTGGTAATCATTGTATTGATATCAGATTGAGATGATCATACGAGTGATAACTGAGCGGCTGTTAAAATCTGAACATTTACAATTTTTTATTTTATTTCATATTTCGTGCAAACTTAATGAAATTTGGATTAACGAACTCAGCGACTGAAAAGCGGTGTGTTGTCGCAGCTCGAAATGAAATATTTTAACCTTCCGCGAGCAAATATGTTGCCATTCGACAAAAATAAGACATTTATTTTTTAAATTTAATCAATAAACCAGTCTATTTAAAAGGGCCATATTAGGACTGCGATAAATGAAAATCTCTTATCTTCCACGCGCCAATGTGTGGCCATTCGGCAAATTTTAAAGTATTTAATTTTCAAATTTAACATGTCTGTTACCGATGAACAAACTGGGCGATTTAAAAGCAATAAACACCATTGTAAATAATATGTTTTTTACTTTTTAATCCGATTGATTTAAATAAAAATACATTTAACTCACGAAATATCTAATTAATAATTTTACGGTACTTTTTTAATTCATCAAAGATTTTTTAATGCCATATAATATGCAACTGACACAGAAACTCTTTATTTTTGGTTGATATTTGAAATGATATCAATACTGTCAGTACATAATGGAAAATAGAATAGCATATCAGAAATAATATATATAGTGTTACGGATTTAGTATTTAAATAGCTCATGTTAGTTGAATTGTAAATTAAATGGTTTTATTTCCCGCGCAGTGCAGCGCGTGATGAATATAAAAGGAAAGCTAAGGCAGAAAATTGAAAATACAAGAGCGCGTGCATTTAACATTTAATAAATATCTCTTTTTGATTTCGAGAAAGTTCTCGCGCGCGATTTAAAAATCTTATGAAAAGAAGGAAAACCTCTCAATTCAATTATTAGCTCCTGCCCTTCTGGACTGACACTTCGAACTTATTCTCTTTTCAGCGCCCAAAGAGCAAACATCTGATGTCAGCCGGAACACATCAAGCAGAATGCTTGATAAGTGTAACTTGGAACTTGAACAATTCAGTTAGTCAGTGATTTTAGTTAGTTTGTTGTTGTTTTAAGAGTTTGTTTAGAAAACTGCCCTTGTTAATTGTAGCGAATTCGCGGATTAGCTCTTTAGCTGTTTGAATTAAGTTCTCTTGAACGTTTGAGTAGTTAGAAGATAATTACTGTGATATATTGTGATACTGCACGATTATTTGAGGACATTTAATCCTATTTGTTGTGATAATAATAATTTTTGTTCATTTTTCATCGGACTTGTGCATTCATTTCGTAACGAACCCGTTCGCACGCAACAATATATTTCAGAAGATCTGAAGGAAAGAAATAAGCTGATCCATATTTCATATTCAGTGTGTAATTGGGAAACAATGAGCGTTGAAAAATAAAACGCTTCAAAGCAGTTTTCATCTTTTTCAAAGCATAATTAAAAGACCAGTGAGCTCAGTATTCACCACTGGAACGAATTATTAAATCAGTGAGATAAAAGAACACTTTCGATTCTTAGTAAATTATTTTTAAAAGGAAGATTTTTGTGAAATTATACTCAAATTACGCTAACTGAATTCATGAAAATCATTACATATATGTAGGATAATGCGTGGCTGCTCTAAGAAATAATTGGCAACCTCAAAATTAACTATTCTAAATTTGGTGTTCTCCTCCCTAAATTCACCTGTTCTCCCAAATTCGAGATCTTTCCAAATTACATAACACTGCTTGAAAAAGGAATGGCGTAGTTGCTTGCGAAGAGTATTTATATTAAGTATGATGCATAAGTACAGCTAATCTGTGATTGGTTAATTTTAGGTTGTTATGTAATACATACTAATTCAATAAATTAGCATCCAACTTAATTTTAATTGCTTTTGAAAGAGAAAATTGTTTCGGATAACTGGATTTCCGAATATTTGGTGTTTCGGATACATTGGAAAGTAAGCTAGCATTTGGAGTTTCGGATCACCGGACATTTAGAGTTTCGAATACTAAGTTGCCGGATAACTGAAAACCAGAAATCTTGAATCACGGATGATTTTAGTGCCGGATAATCCAATTTTAAAGTAAACCCTTTGAAAATCCAATCTGTCGTTTTGAATAAATTTTATATAACTAAGCCGTTACTCGAGCAGTACTTACTCGGGATAATTTTCTACCTTCTCACAGAAGGTGTCATCATCACTCCTAGCACAGAGGGGTTGTCCGAAATTGTCAACAGGGGGCGCCAAAGGCCTCTGCCTTCCCACATAGGAAACGACGGGGTCAGGAAAAACTGGCAGTGAGTGGTCAGTCTCGTTCCAGACTGGGAAGATCACGGTCCTCTCGCTCTTGTCGTTGCCACGGACATTTTTATCCCTAGGACTTTGCTGGAAAGATTTCTTTGTCTGGATGAATATCACAGCTATCATCTGCGAAATAAAGGAATTGTTATGTAAATAAAAAAGAACTTCGATATGTCGAAATAGAATGCCTTCCTCTTGAGGAAATGTGTTTTCTGAAACATACATCTACCCTAGATTTTATCTAAATAATCACAAATTTTTAAGTCTATACCAGCGACTCTCAAACTTTTGCTTTAACGTATCCTTACTATGACTTAAAATTAAAAAATACCCTTAACTCTTCATTCGAAAGCTATGAGCTCTTCGCCCTTCCTGTATCTCGCAGTATATAATTTTGAGGCCGGAGAGATGAAAAATTAGCAACGTCTTCGCCGGAAATCGAACCACGGATCTCTGGAATACCGTCCCAGCGTGCAGAACCACTACACCACGAAGGCACGCTAGGAAGGCGGGAGAAATACCTTATAATTTTAATACCGTAAAATTTATTGACTGCAATGAATTAGGACAGGAAAACGTAATTAAGCAAAAAGCAATCACTGCATTATTCATTTCAAAATAAACGCAAAGACAGCGTATATATTTAATCTAGAACAACATTCCTAATGTACTACAATTATTTTCTATGTTAGTTTTTGTAAAAAGGAAACGAGTAAATTGATGAATTTATTAACTTTTAATAAGGTTTAGACCAGGGGTTCTCAACCAGAGGTACGCAAGAGAAAAAAAAAAATAGGTGGTACGCAAAGAAGCAAAGTATTTTTAACTATTAAGTTCAAAAATTAAAACCCCAACATCCTGGTTAAGTTTTTTCTCTAACACTAGTAAATTGATGCGATCTGAGCTTTGTTCAAGAGTGGGGGTGGTAGTAGCACTTTAAAGTGGTGGTACTGAAGGTTTTCAGTTTTTGTTTAGATGGTACGCGTTAGTCAAAAGGTTGACAACCGCTGGTTTAGACCTAAACTATAAACCCTAAGCATTCTTGAAACAGTGAACGAAAATTGCCCACAGGAAAAATGCTCACAGAATAATGTTCACAGGTATAAATGTTCACAGGAAAAAAGCCCACACAGAAATATGCCCACATAGAAAAAAATCTCACATGAGAAAATGCTCACTTAGAAATACGCTCACACGAAAAAAAGCTGACATAGATATATGCTTACATGGAAATAAGCCCACTGATAAATAAAATACGTAGAAATAACCTTACATTAATCAATCAATGATTAATCGATTTGAACATCGTACACCTACTTTAATTTTTCAAAGAAAAATTATTTAAATTACCAAAACACCTATGGTATATATACACGTGTGTGTGTATATATACCATATATATAAATAAACTGTGTAACTTATGTGTAGATTTAGTTGCTATATAAGATTAACAAATGGGCCGTTTTGAATTAGGAAAAAGAGAGGAGGAAGGAAGAAAAATGAACAGAATATACAGTGAAAAATTATTACGGTTTTAATTATTAAAAAAATGAAATAATAGTTAGTATAAATTACACATTTTATAATATAAACATTTAGAAGAATAAGCAAATAGAACTAATTATTTTATTTAAATTATGTAAAATACCTTGTTATATATAAATCACCTATTTTTCACATAAACTTATAAGGTATTTCTCCCGCCTTCTTAGCACGCCTTCGTGGTGCGGTGGTCTGCACGCTGGGCACGTATTCCAGAGGTCCGTGGTTCGATTTCCGGCGAAGTCTTTGCTCATTTTTCACATCTCCTGCTTCCAAAATACCTAATGTCTCTACAAACTTACTGAATATTAGCTAATATATATAAATATCTAGTTTTATCATCGATTTCGTCATAGTTTCTTACATGATTCGCGATTACCAAATGTAAGTTTTCATATTTTCTTTTTTTTTACTTCAGTACGCCCTGTATTTACAATAGCTAGTAATAAACGTTGACAGGCTAAATCTGTTTTCTGTCCGACAAACAAAAACCATATACTAGGATGGCTAAAATTAAATAATGAATTTAGTCCTTTATGAAAGCTTTCGTAATACTTTGTTGTTTTAAGAGATTTTTCGAAGGCTGCTTCATAATGATTCCACACTTCGATTGGAAACTATAGTCTTCTAGAACTGTTTTGGCTCCAAACTTAAATAACTACATTTAAATATCAATTTCTAAAGATACATATCAAAAGTATGCAAAAATAGAGTAAATAAAAAAAACAAAAATAAACTATTGGCAGTTACAGGGGGAGGGGAAATGTCGTACAGAGGTCAGTGGTATAAAATATTACAGTACATGCAAAATTTTACTATACCTTTTCATTCTTTTATATACCGCCCCTGAAAAGGTTAATATGAGCATTTGTCCAATATTTTTTTCAAATGATGAAATAATTTTTCTTTGAAAAATTCAAGTAGGTGTCCGATGTTCAAATTCATTGATGTAACAATATTTCTACGCATTTTATTTATCAGTGGGCTTATTTCCATGTAAGCATATATCTAAGTGAGCTTTTTTCCGTGTGAGCATATTTCTAAGTGAGCATTTTTCCATGTGAGTATTTTTCTATGTGGGCATACTTCTGGGTGGGCTTTTTTTCCTGTGAGCATTTATACCTGTGAGCGTTGACAGGCTATTCCTGTGGGCTTCTTTCCTGTGAGATTTTTTCCTAGAACCTCTTGAAACAGCGTTGTATCTGAGTAAAATACCTAACCTATAACTTCCTTCACACTAAATCTAAATGCAAACAGCTGTATTCTCGAACACAATATGTAGACTGGTCATCAAAATTAAAGGACAATGAGAAAAAATATGCTCACTAAGTTAATGTTGCAATCAATGCCCATTGCTGTAATTATTTATTTGAATTAAATACAACTGAACACAAAATCGCCCTTCCGCGCATGATTATCAGTAAAGCTCACAATGCAGGGATCTCCAAAACCTAAGCTGTGATATCGAACTGAAAAGGAGTCTGATATGGGATATGGTTCCTTCACAGCCAAAACAGGTCATGCAGCATGCTAGACAGGAGGCAGCTGAGTAATCACTGTGGTAATCTATCCCACACTTTTTCAATTTGCTTCTGGGAGGGGAATGGCGAGATGAAATTATCCTCCAAGAGTATCCCAAACATGCTTTATAGGGTTAAGCTCTTGCGATCTGGCTTGCCAATTCATTTGGCGAATATCCTCACTTTCCAGATAACCGCTGACCAGCTGATCCCTATGTGGACGAGCGTCATCATCTTTTAACAGGAATTCGCGTGCCTAACGTGTCCTGAAAAGTCGAATACACCGCTCTAAGATCTCTTTATATCTCATAACAGTTAGATAGCCTTCGTCAAAAAAAAAATGCAGCGGTTTGCGACCGTCCAACATAATGTCCGCCCAAACCACTGTATCTCCACCACAGTAGTGATCTTTTCCCTGATGAGAGAGGGAGGTTTTGGGTTCCAGGCTCTCTTCAAAAACATGTACTCCGAGAATCAATGCCCAAACTGAACCTCGACTCATCTCTTAGAAGCATGGGGCTACACTGAAGCCTGGTCCAAGGCGCATGTTGTCTGCACCGTGTTAAATGCTCTCTCTCTCTTGTGCGCTGCAATTTGCCAGAAGCAAACAGCTGGTCTTCTGGCATACAGTCCTGTCTCACAAAGCTTTCATCAACTGTAAATCGTGAAACACGGGTTCCAGTGGATCATACAGCTCATATGAGAGATGTAAAACTGTAGCAGTCCTGTATTGCCGCGTTGAAAGTGCCAAATAACTATCCTCATTCCTCGTTATAGATCTTTGCCGACCTCTTCCAGGACATCTTGATGTGAGTTCAGTGTCCTGAAACAGTTTTCACAAGTTGCAGAAGACACTGGGGGTTTATCGAGCTCTGTAGCGACGTATGCTTGTAAATGGTTTGTCTCCAATCTACCGACAATTCTCCATCTTATTCTGTCGTAAACGAAAATGCATTGTGATCTTTGATGAAGCATGGGTTTACCTAAATGATTGTAGGTCTTTTTATTATCAAAAACAAAAAGAAAAAAGTGTCCAAATGTCACCTGGTCGCAAGCGAAGTTTGAGCAAGGAGTTGATTGTCGCAATATTCAGTCTTACAAAAATAAGAAGAGTAAAAAAAATCTTCATTAAGAGAAACCCACACTTCGAAAAGTATACACCTTTCATTTCTTGAAAACAAAAGTGAAGACTGATACAGGTATTGCATATATATCTCTCCAACACTAGCCCTGCAAAGTCCCATGACGTTTTCCCTATGGGATATGTAATGTGTGTATTTTTCCTATGGGATATGTATGTATGGACCTTCGGTCTCCTGAAAAGCTTTCTAAGCGCAAACCCATCCCTATTGAGGGACTCTGGAAAGTAGTGAAAGAGGAATGGAAATAAGTACCCCTGGAAATTTAACGAAAAGCTCTTCTATCATAAAACACGATATAGATTTATAATCCAGAAAAAAGGCTATCGGATCAGTCATTTAAAAGAAACACTCTTTACATTTCAAGCATGAATTAAATATCCCCCGAAATCGTTCTAAAAGTGTGTAAACACCCTCTGCATATTTTTTAGTCCAAAGGGATTTGAATCCCGAAGGACTATTAGTTTCGTTTTGGCATTTTGCGTCGGACTCATAAATGTCGGTTCACTTTTCAAACTGTTGCCACAAAATGTTAGAGTCCTGCATTATATTTGAAGAAATTAAATAATGAAAAATCTGCATAAATGTATGTATGTTTCTCGTATTGTGATAAAACAACGGTACATAGAGTCATCGAATTTTGAATAACGTAATCCTCCAACGAATATGAGCATGTGGAAGACCAAATTTGAAATTTGAAATTTGTTTCATTATCCATCTCATCTTTTGTAAAACTTTAACGAATTTTTGATTAATAAACTCAAGAATTTCAAAGCGAGCAATGGCAACGTTGTGCAGAAAAAACATTTTTATCTCCAGCGCGTGAGTCTCTGTATCGGAAATTCTAAAGATATGCTCGTTTTAAAACTATTTTGCGATATTGCTGTTGCACTGGATCTTATGGTTTAAGTGCGAGGAACATGAT